TACAGATCCTCCATTGGAACACAAAATGTTAGTCTCTTTAAGTGCATTTTGAATCACTAATCATTATGCGAAATATAAATATAATAATAAACATAACCATACCACAAGACTTCTCAATGTTTTTCTCATAATCATATCTTTCTTTACAGTTAGCAGTCGCATTGTTAGTTGTACTCATGTAACAGGTTTCCCATTGTTAGTTGCATTCATATCAACGGTTGTCGTTGCATTAATAGCATTATCTAAATTTGTAAAAAGAGATTGATATTAACAATTAAATATAATAATAATTTATAGGAATTTTATAAGAATGCATATTTTACCATAAGAATACAGATACATCGGTAAATTTGTTTAGATTACACACTGTTTCTTAGAATTATCAGTCGTCTAGTTGCACTTGGATCATCACAATAATCGATTTATTACTACTTGCTAAACAATTGTAGCGGAAAATTACTTATCCACATAGAATTATACGAATCTATATTCAAGTGATAAAAAGTCGTGATTAAAAGTAGATACAGCATACTTACCATATGGTAGATATTCAATTGGTTTTTTTTCTGGGTTATATCTCTAGTCTTATACTTCTTTCTTGGGTTTATTGTTACATTAGGTACATTTGTATTAATATTTTTTAACTATTGTTTCTAATAGTCTTTTTATCATCTATAGAATACCAAACATGGTTAAAATATAATTAAAACCATTTGTAGTTGTAATAATTGTTTTTATGTGATATATTTTAGTAATATATTTTTAAATGTCCACATATATAAGACACATTTGTATGGATGCATGTGTGTGTTGTGCATGTGCGTATTTATGTGTTTAGGTATTTTTTTGATCTTGATATGAGAAGTATCTATTAGGAAAAATTATTTAATTCAGATATAAAAATTTCAATTAAAAAAAAATATGTGTAACATATTTTGTTTACATTGAAGATATATTATTTGGCAAAGGATAAATTTTTTACTTATTATTGCGTATGTGTATATTCATATAATATATAACATATGATATAACATATTTTATAATTATATATATATAATATAAATAACATATTTATAATACATACAAAGAGCACATCTGTCCAAAAATGTCTAAAAATGTTTTTTACCTTTTAGACATCTTTAAGAAATTTTTTGGTCTTTTTGTGCTCTCTGAGATAAATATACAATACGTAATATAAAGAAAAGCATTTTGTAGATATAATGTTTTTTTCTTACTGTTTCTTGCAATGATCGTTGCGGAATACCTATATCCATCGCTGTATTTTACTTTTATGTCGCGACTTTTAGTAGGAAAAATACATTTTTGTGGTGCACACATAATGCACATCATCGTAAAATTTCACAAGCGCATACATCTTTTTTTACACATTAAAATACTTTAGCACAAAGGAAAGTTAAATGTTAACATTATTCAAATCTTAATGTAATGTACGGTAGCTTGAGATATTTCTCTGCGTCTGCGTAATGCGTAATGGTACGATAACAAACGCGGAAACGTTCATAAGAAGAAAATCACATAGTACGGGAATCAACGTGTGGGACAGAGACCTAGTTTACATCGAGTACTTGATACGCGTATTAAATAGTAAATAACTAGTAAATTGATTCAATTATTGGCTGATCAGCTCAAATGTACTATTTGATACGCGTATTAAGTGCTCGATGTAAAATAGACCAGGGTATCGATTCTGTAACTTTTTCTAAAGTGAAAATGTGAAAAGTGAAAAATTTCCGCCAATCACGCATTGATTTTAAAATGAAATTGATGTGCAATTGGCGAAATTTTTTACTTTTCACGTTTTCACTTTAAAAAAAGTTACAGAATCGATACTCTGAGGATGGTGATTCGACCAGCCATCAGAGCTTTTTCGCATTTTTCTAAGAACGTTGATTGGGCATGTCGGATGACTTATTTGTTTAAATCGCTTAGTAATAAAAGCATTATCTGATCGAGAGGCGGTGTCATGCAGCGAGCGGCGAGCAATGTAGCGGCGCCGAAAAGTAAGATGATACTTTTGATACTAAGCGACAGCCAAATACAAAAGTAAAGAAGTGTTTTGATTGGTCTAAACTCGTGATGCGCGGCCTGACGCGCTCAGTGGAAATTCAGCCGCACTCTCATACAAAAAGCGCCATGCTTACTTTCACGCGACATTACATGGAAATATTAAAGTCGTTCTACATTAGTTGCAAATGGAGTCGCAAATCGCAAAAAATTAACCAATCACAATTGAAATTCAAGAAAAAATCGACTATGGTTGGCTATTTTTTGCGATTTGCGACTCCATTTGCAACTAATGTAGAACGACCTTAATGTCACATGTTGCATTCGTTATTCTCGCTTTCATATAGAAAGTATCGTTCTTTCTTTTGCTCGTTAAACACATAAATAATATACAAGGCCCGTAGTCTGTTCTTATATTTAAGATCGTCTTAAGACCTCGTTCAACCAATTAAAATGGCCGCTTAGCATCTCTTGACTGGTTGAACGAGGTCTTAAGACGATCTCAAATATAAGAACGGACTATGAATACGGGCCAATAAAGCGGGAGCACAAACTTTTGCATAGGCGCATAAGCGTAAACATATAGCGGGGACACACACTTTTGCATAGGCGCATAAGCGTAAGCATAAGAATCTTGATTGGTCTATAAACGTATGCATAGAAATTGAACCAATCGAATTTCTTAATCCGGGTCTACATTGGTCGTAGAATCGTAGATTGTAAGAAAATTGATCCAATCACAGTTGAATGTGAGAAGAATAATCGACTCTGATTGGATCAATTTTCTTACGATCTATGATTCTACGACCAATGTAGACTTAGCTTTATGCATATGCTTATGCGCTTATGCAAGAATGTGTGCTTCCCGCTTAAAGCTTACATATCGCCATAATGCTTCCATGCAATGTCGCGCAAAAGTAACATATTTACCTTATATTCAAAATGGTCACAAAAACTAAATTCATAAAAGTTTAGAAGTGATTTGTGTTTATTTAATTCTGCTGAATTTCTACTACTCTAAAACTTGTAAACGAAAACTTAAGCTGGTTATTGAACGGTAGTTGATCAATTAATCGTTGAAATTTTTTTTTCATTTATTTCAATGAAATATTCAATGTATATTTGTGTGATGTACTGTGTTTTCTCTCGTGCCTTTAACAATGCCTGTTAATAAATTGTGCATACCAGTAACACCTTTCGGGCACGTACGATATTCATTGCATATTCTGAAATATTATTTATTTATCATTGTCGACGTACTATTAAAAAAAAATGTAATCTGCCTATTACATGGACTATAGCGAATAAATAAGAAAAAATTTAGCATTTTTATCACTATAATGAATCTTTATTGTTTATAAATTTTCTAAATAACTTGCATTTTATAGTAAATAAAAACACTAGTACATCTACTTTTAAATTATGAAATCTACATTAATTCGGTAAAAATTGTTTTAATGGTACATTGTGATTATGGCGATAGTATGTACATACTGATACATGTATATAGCATATGAGTCTGAGTGTCCAAATGCATTATTCATATATGTCAATTAATATACATATTTATTTATGAAATTCTGCGCATAGAAGTTATTTTTCATTTTTTACATCTCATAGTGAGTTTGAATAACTATTTACAGGTATATATAATTTTTAAAATAGATATTTGTTACATACGTAAATAAAAATCGATAAATTTTCTAGAAAATGCAAAGAGAGATGCAGATCTTTAAAGTGATATGTTCAACGACAAATATTGTAAGCTCATTTCAGAGCTTAGCAAAATATGTTTATGCGCTTTTTTCTTCCATTTTTAGGTGAATCACAAACATACAATTATTCTTTAATACATATTTTTTACATTATTAAATAAATATCTATATAATTTCACCTTAGGATAAGTTTCAGTTGAGAAACTGGCCAGCGATGTGTGTTGTAACTTACATTCAAACTACATTGTACAGGAACTTTTTCCTTTTTATATTTATGGTGAGTCAAAAATAGATATATTTATTTATAAAATGCATATTTTTTACATTGATAAGTAAAAATTTATATTATATAGTTTTTGTCATATAGGTTATATGAAGAAATTGTATCTATGAATGATGAAATCAAAAAGTAACTCTTTGTTCATAGTACACACAAACCAAGACTGTAATAGAAATCAGGAAATTTTAATGGTCCTATACCTATAATGCTGAAAATTAATCTTCTATCTGTTCTAATTAACCACCTGTCATAAACTCTAACTTTTGCATTTTATACAATGGTGAGTACATACAATTTATTAAAACAGATTTTACTTAAATCTGTTTTAATAAATTGTATGTACTCACCATTGTATAAAATGCAAAAGTTAGAGTTTTTATGACAGGTGGTTAATTAGAACAGATAGAAGATTAATTTTCAGCATTATAGGTATAGGACCATTAAAATTTCCTGATTTCTATTACAGTCTTGGTTTGTGTGTACTATGAACAAAGAGTTACTTTTTGATTTCATCATTCATAGATACAATTTCTTCATATACCTATATGACAAAAACTATATAATATAAATTTTTACTTATCAATGTAAAAAATATGCATTTTATAAATAAATATATCTATTTTTAGACTCACCATAAATAAAAAGGAAAAAGTTCCTGTACAATGTAGTTTGAATGTAAGTTACAACACACATCGCTGGCCAGTTTCTCAACTGAAACTTATCCTAGGTGAAATTATATAGATATTTATTTAATAATGTAAAAAATATGTATTTAAAGAAATAATTGTATGTTGTGATTCACCTAAAAATGGAAGAAAAAAGCGCATAAACTATTTTGCTAAGCTCTGAAATGACTTACAATATTTGTCGTTGAACATATCACTTTAAAGATCTGCATCTCTCTTTGCATTTTCTAGAAAATTTATCGATTTTTTATTTACGTATGTAACAAATATCTATTTAAAAATATATATATACCTGTAAATAGTTATTCAAACTCACTATGAGATGTAAAGAAATGAAAAATAACTTCTATGCGCAGAATTTCATAAATAAATATGTATATTAATTGACATATATGAATAATGCATTTGGACACTCAGACTTCATATGCTATATACATGTATCAGTATGTACATACTATCGCCATAATCACAATGTACCATAAAACATATTTTTTACCGAATTAATGTAGATTTCATATTTTTAAAAGTAGATGTACTAGTGTTTTTATTTACTATAAAATGCAAGTTATTTAGAAAATTTATAAACAATAAAGATTCATTATAGTGATAAAAATGCTAAATTTTTTCTTATTTATTTCGCTATAGTCCATGTAATAGGCAGATTACATTTTTTTTAATAGTACGTCGACAATGATAAATAAATAATATTTCAGAATATGCAATGAATATCGTACGTGCCCGAAAGGTGTTACTGGTATGCACAATTTATTAACAGGCATTGTTAAAGGCACGAGAGAAAAACACAGTACATCACACAAAATATACATTGAATATTTCATTGAAATAAATGAAAAAAAATTTCAACGATTAATTGATCAACTAACCGTTCAATAACCAGCTTAAGTTTTTCGTTTACAAGTTTTAGAGCAGTAGAAATTCAGCAGAATTAAATAAACACATAATCACTTCTAAACTTTTATGAATTTAGTTTTTGTGACCATTTTGAATATAAGGTAAATATGTTTACTTTTGCGCGACATTGCATGGAAGCATTATGGCGATATGTAAGCTTTAAGCGGGAAGCACACATTCTTGCATAAGCGCATAAGCATATGCATAAAGCTAAGTCTACATTGGTCGTAGAATCATAGATCGTAAGAAAATTGATCCAATCAGAGTCGATTATTCTTCTCACATTCAACTGTGATTGGATCAATTTTCTTACAATCTACGATTCTACGACCAATGTAGACCCGGATTAAGAAATTCGATTGGTTCAATTTCCTATGCATACGTTTATAGACCAATCAAGATTCTTATGCTTACGCTTATGCGCCTATGCAAAAGTGTGTGCTCCCCGCTATATGTTTACGCTTATGCGCCTATGCAAAAGTTTGTGCTCCCCGCTTTATTGGCCCGTATTCATAGTCCGTTCTTATATTTGAGATCGTCTTAAGACCTCGTTCAACCAGTCAAGAGATGCTAAGCGGCCATTTAATTGGTTGAACGAGGTCTTAAGACGATCTTAAATATAAGAACAGACTACGGGCCCTTGTATATATTTATGTTTAACGAGCAAAAGAAAGAACGATACTTTCTATATGAAAGCGAGAATAACGAATGCAACATGTGACATTAAGGTCGTTCTACATTAGTTGCAAATGGAGTCGCAAATCGCAAAAAATTAGCCAACCATAGTCGATTATTTTCTTGAATTTCAATTGTGATTGGTTAATTTTTTGCGATTTGCGACTCCATTTGCAACTAATGTAGAACGACTTTAATATTTCCATGTAATGTCGCGTGAAAGTAAGCATGGCGCTTTTTGTATGAGAGTGCGGCTGAATTTCCACTGAGCGCGTCAGGCCGCGCATCACGAGTTTAGACCAATCAAAACACTTCTTTACTTTGTATTTGGCTGTCGCTTAGTATCAAAAGTATCATCTTACTTTTCGGCGCCGCTACATTGCTCGCCGCTCGCTGCATGACACCGCCTCTCGATCAGATAATGCTTTTATTACTAAGCGATTTAAACAAATAAGTCATCCGACATGCCCAATCAACGTTCTTAGAAAAATGCGAAAAAGCTCTGATTGGCTGGTCGAATCACCCATCCTCAGAGTATCGATTCTGTAACTTTTTTTAAAGTGAAAACGTGAAAAGTAAAAATTTCCGCCAATTGCACATCAATTTCATTTTAAAATCAATGCGTGATTGGCGGAAATTTTTCACTTTTCACATTTTCACTTTAGAAAAAGTTACAGAATCGATACCCTGGTCTATTTTACATCGAGCACTTAATACGCGTATCAAATAGTACATTTGAGCTGATCAGCCAATAATTGAATCAATTTACTAGTTATTTACTATTTAATACGCGTATCAAGTACTCGATGTAAACTAGGTCTCTGTCCCACACGTTGATTCCCGTACTATGTGATTTTCTTCTTATGAACGTTTCCGCGTTTGTTATCGTACCATTACGCATTACGCAGACGCAGAGAAATATCTCAAGCTACCGTTACATTACATTAAGATTTGAATAATGTTAACATTTAACTTTCCTTTGTGCTAAAGTATTTTAATGTGTAAAAAAAGATGTATGCGCTTGTGAAATTTTACGATGATGTGCATTATGTGTGCACCCAAAAATGTATTTTTCCTACTAAAAGTCGCGACATAAAAGTAAAATACAGCGATGGATATAGGTATTCCGCAACGATCATTGCAAGAAACAGTAAGAAAAACAATTATATCTACTAAAATGCTTTTCTTTTATATTACGTATTGTATATTTATCTCAGAGAGCACAAAAAGACCAAAAAATTTCTTAAAGATGTCTAAAAGGTAATAAAACATTTTTAGACATTTTTTGGACAGATGTGCTCTTTGTATGTATATATAAATATGTTATTTATAAATATAAATTTAACATATATAAGATAGGCAATAAGAGCCAAATCGCGGATGACAGTGCGTTATTCTAAACGAAACTAAATTTTTTCGTTAGAATTAAATACCTGTGCACAAGGCACCAAATTTTTACTTGGACACGGCCAAGATATAAAATTGGAATAATCTCTACAAGAGATTTTTAATTCCATGTATCCCCTATTCCCCCTAAAGAAATAAAGTGCGAGAGAAAAATATAGATCCGAAAGTCGCAGAATCGGGAATCGAACCCGAGACCTTTCGCTTGCCGGGCGACTGCTCTTCCAACTGAGCTATTCAGATCCTTTCGATTCTATACTTTTCTCTGTTATATATATTAATGTTGGTAAATAAACGCCTTTAAGCCAGCGTGTATAAATTAAGAGTTTAACTAGGCTCTGTAATATATAAATATAAATTTAACATATATAAGATAGGCAATAAGAGCCAAATCGCGGATGACAGTGCGTTATTCTAAACGAAACTAAATTTTTTCGTTAGAATTAAATACCTGTGCACAAGGCACCAAATTTTTACTTGGACACGGCCAAGATATAAAATTGGAATAATCTCTACAAGAGATTTTTAATTCCATGTATCCCCTATTCCCCCTAAAGAAATAAAGTGCGAGAGAAAAATATAGATCCGAAAGTCGCAGAATCGGGAATCGAACCCGAGACCTTTCGCTTGCCGGGCGACTGCTCTTCCAACTGAGCTATTCAGATCCTTTCGATTCTATACTTTTCTCTGTTATATATATTAATGTTGGTAAATAAACGCCTTTAAGCCAGCGTGTATAAATTAAGAGTTTAACTAGGCTCTGTAATATATAAATATAAATTTAACATATATAAGATAGGCAATAAGAGCCAAATCGCGGATGACAGTGCGTTATTCTAAACGAAACTAAATTTTTTCGTTAGAATTAAATACCTGTGCACAAGGCACCAAATTTTTACTTGGACACGGCCAAGATATAAAATTGGAATAATCTCTACAAGAGATTTTTAATTCCATGTATCCCCTATTCCCCCTAAAGAAATAAAGTGCGAGAGAAAAATATAGATCCGAAAGTCGCAGAATCGGGAATCGAACCCGAGACCTTTCGCTTGCCGGGCGACTGCTCTTCCAACTGAGCTATTCAGATCCTTTCGATTCTATACTTTTCTCTGTTATATATATTAATGTTGGTAAATAAACGCCTTTAAGCCAGCGTGTATAAATTAAGAGTTTAACTAGGCTCTGTAATATATAAATATAAATTTAACATATATAAGATAGGCAATAAGAGCCAAATCGCGGATGACAGTGCGTTATTCTAAACGAAACTAAATTTTTTCGTTAGAATTAAATACCTGTGCACAAGGCACCAAATTTTTACTTGGACACGGCCAAGATATAAAATTGGAATAATCTCTACAAGAGATTTTTAATTCCATGTATCCCCTATTCCCCCTAAAGAAATAAAGTGCGAGAGAAAAATATAGATCCGAAAGTCGCAGAATCGGGAATCGAATATGTTATTTATATTATATATATAATATAAATATGTTATATCATATGTTATATATTATATGAATATACACATACGCAATAATAAGTAAAAAATTTATCCTTTGCCAAATAATATATCAATGTAAACAAAATATGTTACACATATTTTTTTTTAATTGAAATTTTATATCTGAATTAAATAATTTTTCCTAATAGATACTTCTCATATCAAGATCAAAAAAATACCTAAACACATACATACGCACATGCACAACACACACATGCATCCATACACATGTGTCTTTATATATGTGTACATTAAAATATATATACTAAAATATATCACATAAAAACAATTATTACAACTACAAATGGTTTTAATTATATTTTAACCATGTTTTGTATTTCTATAGATGATAAAGACTATTAGAAACAATAGTTAAAAATATTAATACAAATGTACCTAATGTAACAATAAACCCAAGAAAGAAGTATAAGACTAGAGATATTAACCCAGAAAAAAACATTGAATATCTACCATATGGTAAGTATGCTGTATCTACTTTTAATCACGACTTTTTATCACTTGAATATAGATTCGTATAATTCTTATGTGTATAAGTAATTTTCCGCTACAATTTGTTTAGCAAGTAGTAATAAATCGATTAATTGTGATGATCCAAGTGCAACTAGAACGACTGATAATTCTAAGAAACAGTGTAATCTTAACAAATTTACCGATGTATCTGTATCTTATGGTAAATATGCATTCATTATAAATATTCCTATAAATTATTATATTTTAATTGTTAATATCAATCTCTTTTTACAAATTTAGATAATGCTATTAATGCAACGACAACCTGTGATATGAATGCAACTAACAATGGGACAACCTGTTACATGAGTACAACTAACAATGCGACTGCTAACTGTAAAGAAAGCTATGATTATGAGAAAAACATTGAGAAGTCTTGTGGTATGGTTATGTTTATTATTATATTATATTTCGCATAATGATTAGTATTCAAAATGCACTTAAAGAGACTAACATTTTGTTTTCCAATGGAGGATCTGTATTATTTAAACCAGATTCTTCTATTGGATATCAATTGTACTAACATTTTGTAAGCACTTTCTGAATAGCAATCAATATGTATAGGTTTATAATATTTCAAAATGTGTGTGTATAAGAAGTTAATATGTTATGCTATTTTTTATAATTTTAGATATTAATAAAATAATAAATTTGGATGAAGGAGGTGTTTTAAACTTTGAAACTTGTATCGACTCCTCAGAGATTGATTGCCAGAAAGATATTCTTGTGTTTTCTTTTAATGGTAAGTAAGATCTATATATTGACTTATTTACAAAAATTCCTCATTTATTGAATTCAGTAAATGTTATAATGAAATTTTCTACTTTTTTCAGACGATATTAACGAAACAATTAATTGTGATTATACAAGTGCATTTAAAGAGACTGATAACTCTAAGAAGCAATGTAATCTTAAGAAACTTGCTGATGTAACTCCATCTAGTGGTAAGTATGCATTCATTACAAGTATTTCTGTAACTATTAATTATTATAACTTAACTGTAAATAGTATTCTCTTGTTACATTTTTAGATAATATTACTAATGCAACGACAACCTGTGATATGAGTGCAATTAACAACAGGACTATTATTTGTACTAAAAGCCATAATTATGAAAGAAACATTGAAAAGTCTTCGTCTTGTGGTATGATTACATTTACTGTTTGTATTCTACATAATGGTTAGTATTCAGAACGCACTTATAAAAATATTACAGTATAAGTATACTCATCGCCAGTAAAAGAATTTGTGTGTAAAACAGATTCTTCTATTGTATAACATTTTGTAAGCACGTTCTGTATACTTACCAATATGTGTATATGTATATATTCTAAATATGTGTATGCATGTAAAAGTAAATATGTTATGCTATTTCTTTATTTTTTTTAGTACCTATCAATCAAACGATAAATTCAGATGAAAGAAGTGCTCTAAACATTGAAACTTATGTCGAGTTCTCAAAGCCTGATTATCAAAAAGAAATGCTTGATAACAACCAAAATATTTTAGTAAATAAACAAATAGAATACGTGGAACTCTCACCTATTTGTAAGTATATATACATTTTTATGCGTTTTGATAGATATTTACTGCCATTATTACTAATATATAGTAACGTGAACTATAAATTTTTGAAATTAACGTTTTTATAAAAGTATCGTATAATATAAATTTGTATATTTTACACCTGTTTAAAATTATATTTAAAATACTATATAAATTTCCATTTTTCAGATTACGCTGTGATAATCTTAGAAGTGACCTCAACTTTCTTTTGTAAGAAAAATAGTGGAGCATGCTGATGGAAATTATTATTTATAATAGAGTAAATAGCTCTTAATCAATGAACCATTGTATTGTATTCATTATAATTTTAGATTAGGTTAAGTATTATGTAGATATAATCATTTTAGGTTAAGTTAGGTATTATTTAGATATTGTCATTCTGTGACAAACAGACAGTATTTCGACTTGAAATATATTGATGCAAAAATGGCGGATTTTTGCTATGGATATAATAATTCGAGTTAGCTTAATTGGATTGCACAGAAGAGTTTTCAAATCCATATATTTTACATTTTAGGAAAATATAAATTTGGCATTATTGCATTGATTTATACAGTCGAACCTCAATATAGTATGTCATCATATATCTAACATATATCTAAATTACATTTATTGAAAAAATAGTCTTTATATGTATAGGAAAATTATTAAATCGTACGCGATGAAATGAATATATATTCTCATGACTTTCAAATAGTTCCAATGTTCGTGATAATAAATCGTCGTCGAATAAGGTTTGCCAATTGGAAAAGCATATCTCACAATACATATAATTATAAGATATAATATAGCATACAGCCAGAATAGAACAGTTAGAGGAGAAATCACTTTTTTCATTACAATTCAGTGATGCACAATATATACATACATACTTTCCTTATACATATAAAGACTATTTCAACACCATAGAGTATTTATATAAATACAAATATACAAGATAATTTTTTAACATAATGTATGGGCTTGTACATAATGTTAAAAATTATCTATCTTTGCTTGTTCTATTTCTGCTACTCGACATCTCTTAAAGACATATATTGAAGTTAGTGTTATCTCAGATAATGCAAGCCATTTGTCATATAAAAACGACTTTTTTAGTGCTGCATATGCTGCATTTCTTTGTTTCATCAAATATTCATGGAACTTTAATATCATTCATTAAGGGGAGATTATCTTTTTATGTCTTTTATGTACAGACTGCGTTTCTTGCACAGTTTTATTGACACTTGTGCTAATATCTGCAATGAGTAGTTTTATGAAATCTTTGACTAATTTCTTCTTATCCTCATCTCCTTTTTTGATACATTCTACAATTAACATATTTTCAACATATTTTAGAAGAGTTGACAAAGTAGATGCTACGGCGGAAGCTTTATAGAGTTGTGTGTTATTATCATAATTTGCAATTATGTTTATTGCAGAGATGCAGTCATCGTATAATCGAGGATGGTACAGCGATTGGAAGTCTTGTATATTTGTATATATATCCTTTAACGCCAAGAGAAACCGTCCAAGAAGGCGTAACTTGGCACGAATCATGTCGTGCTGATGTTGCACTTTATATTTTACGCACATTTTATTTGCATATGTTATCATTAACTCATCGTATCTCAAAATCCGTGTTACTTCATCTTCCTTCATAACCGGAAAAACAGTTTTCCTTAAAGTTTTACTGGCTATTGGATGAAGTCTTCCAATGATTCGTCTACCCATTACCATAATATTCTTATTTTTATTAAATTTACTGTTAAAACAAACTCTAGAATGATGTCGTATTGTGCTTTTGGCAAAAAATCCTTTACATTTGGCACAGGCTGTAAAGTCAGTTGCAGATTTATGATACTTTTTATTTGGACGTCTACTAACAAGTAATTGTCCACTATCAAGTTCGGCTTTTGTGTTAAATTTGAAGTTTCCATTTTTCCAAATAGCGTCTATTATTTGCAATCTTTCTGGATGTTTCTTAGGTAATATGGCAAACTTTTTTACTTGTGGTTCATTACGATGAACTGTTACCAAATGACGTGCAAGTTGAGTTTGCAACTTCTTGCAGAAAACACAATAGTTTCGTTTCGATTTCATTTTAGATGTTTCCACATACATAAGCTCATCGTTGCATATTACTGAGCCAACAGTATTTGAAGTATCCAAACTTGAAGTGGAAGACGCAGTCTTGTTTATTGTACTTTCCACGCGATCTTGTGTAGATTCAATATCTTGTGAAAAAGAACTTTGTTCAGATGGTACGTATTCTGAATCCTCATCGGTATCATTACCTTGTATAAAATATTAATAAATACATTATATACATATGTAAAAAGAGGACACAGTTTTTACATGAATAAAAGTATGTATAAGCACAACATGTATTGAAGTATGCATAACACAATATTAATTGTTTTAATAAATGTAAAATATATACAACAAAGCAAGAAAAATGTATCATAAGAATAAAATTTATTTTTTTTTATTTAAACTTTTTTAAGTGTACTATCACAGCAGAAAAAAATATAATAATAGATACAAAGATTCTTTATATCTATTATTAAATAATATTTTAATTAGAAAATACATTAAAAAATATAAAAATAAAATTAATTAAAAATATTAAATTTAGTAAATATTGTTTAAGGGGATGCTGGAGTTACTTGAGAAGTCAGTTTTGTTTTTTTCCTTTCTTATCGACAAAATATGAGGTTAAATAAATTGTAAATCTATTTATTGGCTATACGGATTGTTTTTTACTTAAAATTAGAACGCTTCGCCCTTTGTTAATATTAATACTTTAATTTGTACAGGCAAAAGATTTATCAATCTGTATAGTCTCATATTTCTTGATTACAGAATAAGAATTCATAAATCTGTAAGCTCATCGTTGCATATTGATATATCAACAGTGTTTAAAGTGTCAAAATTTTTTGACACTTTAAAATGTTGACACTTGTCAAAATGGTTTTGTATTAAATAACATTGCTAATAAAATATTTCTATGTAGATAACACTTTCTTATTAAAATATTTCTGTATACTAAATTTGACACGTATATTTTATTACATATAATGTTTGTGTGAAATAAATAATATATTGTGCAATTAATCATGTTCTTGATTTAAGGCTTTTTATTAATTCTTGAGTTTTATAAGCAGCTTTCGCTTATAAATTAAAATAATATGTATCTATCTAAAACTGATGGACTTTTACATGGAGTCTTTATACATGGTTTACTAAAAGTGTAGAAACCTTTTAATATTACGAAATTTTTTTTTAAGATAATTGTGTTTTTACACCAATTCATTTGTCTCGAATTATTTTGTGCATAAAAATATTAAAATTATATTATCAAAAATTGAATATTTTACAAGATATTTTACAAGAATTTGCCATTATATGTCATATATGTTTTTTTAGTTACATCCCGTATATTACACTGCAAGTATTTGCAAAAATACTTGCATTTTTTAAATTTGATTCACCAAAAAAAATTATTTAATTTTGTCTATTATTCTTGCTTATTAAACAATTAAATCCTTTATTTATTCTGGAATGTAGTTAAAATAACCAATTCATAGAAAATAACAATGTCGTCACAATAGCCAAATAGTATAATATATATACATAATTTTGTACTGTCGCTGTATTAGCCAATCTATACTTAACTCTTTATACATATGTACCAGTGCATTTTATCGAAAAAGTAAAACTAATGTATACGTCACAGAGTTAATGTACTCTTATGTATACAATAAAATATTAAGGTTTTTTGTGTCGTCAAAATAGCCAATTGACATATATTTATATATATATATATATATATATATATATATGATTAAAGTATAAAGCTTAATATGCCTAATAATGAATTATAAAAATCAAATGTTTAACTCATATAAGCAATAATTAATATATTATTGATAATCATTTTCTATTTTCTACAATTGTTCTATTATAAATAAGTTTCTTTTTATTTAGAATTAGAATTCTCCTTTACACAGCTTTATAAACAAAAAATAAACAAAAGAAAAAAAGAATTAAATATTCGTTCTGCACATTTATGCTATTAATATAAAAATATTAGACAAGAGAAATATTTAGTCTTTATAAAATAATCCTATAATATAAAGCAATCGACTAATATAATACATAAAATGGGGTATCTAATCATCATATAAAATATAAAGTTCTGCAAGCATTTTACTCGAAAAGCAAGCTCTTGCATCGCTAGATTCAGATTGCAAACTATCGTTATTTGATTGTGAACAACTAAAACGTTTAATATTAGGTGTTAGAAAACAGCTAATACGAGATTTTAAAGCTAGGCATTCCCTCAAAGGTCTTTTTACTCTCTTGTCTGTGCACTTCTTGAATTATTATTATACATCTACATAATTATAATTCACCGAATTTTTCTTACGTCTCGACGTAATTTCAATTTATCGAATTTTTATTATGTCTCTAAAGTGATCATCGTTTCGCTTGTAATTGTACGTTTTAGAAAATACAGTAAATTAAAAAAAACTGTCAAAGTTGATTCTCTTCAATTCTGAAAATTTTCGAATTTTGCATTTTCCATAAACATATTTTTCGATTAAACATGTTCCAAACTATAAAAATCGACTCTAAATACGACTGAGTATGAGAATTTTAAATTTCTTAAAGTTGGTCACTTTTTAAATTTTTCGTTTCGAAATCGACATTGATCTATCTTCATTTAAAGATATTTATCCGCACTTGTAAATGTCGTGTCTTTAATACATTAACGTCAATATGGCACCAGAGTTAAAAAAATTAATTTTTTAATACGAAAAACGACAGCATTTCGATCGCAAGACTCGTCAAGCTAAAAATAAAAATTTAAAATTGTGACCCAACTTTAAAATAAAGCAAATCCGAATACGCAGTATTATTTAATATCGTTTCTAATTGTAAAAAGTGATATTCGCTTCGCTTGTAATTGTACGCTTTGAAAAATATAGTAATTTAAAAATAAATGTCAAAATTAAATCTCTTCAAATATCAAGATTTTCGAAATCTGCTTTTTCCATTAATATATTTTTCGATTGGGAATGTTCTAAACAATAAAAAAAGATTCTATAAACGACTAAGCATGTTTGACATATCGTTAAGTTTGTCACTTTTCGAATTTTTCGCTTCGACATCGAAATCGATCTGTCTTCGCTTCAAGACTTTGAACGCGCTTACAAATGTGTTTTTAATATAAATTAATGTTAATCTGACAGCTGACTATAAAAAATTAATTTCTTTAATACCGAAAATGATAGTACATCGATCGATCGCGTCGTCAGTAAAAAAATCAAAAGTTCAATTTTTTTCCAAAATTGAAAATAACGCAAATTCAAATCAGCAGTCTTATTAAGAATCGTTTATAGATGTGTGAACTGAAATTCGTTTTGCTTTAAATCGCACACTTTATAAAATACAGCGGTTTAAACAAAACTGTCCAAAATAAATTTCTTCAAATTGAAAATAACGCAAATCCAAATCAGCAGTCTTATTAAAAATCGTTTATAGATATGTGAACTGAATTTCGTTTCGCTTTAAGTCGCACACTTTAAAAAACACAGCAATTTAAACAAAACTGTCAGAAATAAAATTTTTCAAATTGAAAATAACGCAAATCTAAATCAACAGTCTTATTAAGAATCGTTTATAGATGTGCAAACTAAAATTCGTTTCGCTTTAAGTCGCACACTTTAAAAAATACAGCAGTTTAAACAAAACTGACAAAAATAATTTTTTTTCAAATTGAAAATAACACAAATCCAAATCAGTAGTCTTATTAAAAATCGTTTATAAATGTATGAATGGAATTTCGTTTCGCTTTAAGTCGCACACTTTAAAAAATACAGCAGTTTAAACAAAACTGTCAGAAATAAATTTTTTCAAATTGAAAATAACGCAAATCTAAATCAGCAGTCTTATTAAGAATCGTTTATAGATGTGTGAACTGAAATTCGTTTCGCTTTAAATCGCACACTTTATAAAATACAGCCGTTTAAACAAAATTGTCAAAAATAAATTTTTCAAATTGAAAATAACGGAATTCCAAATCAGCATTCTTATTAAGAATAGTTTATAGATATGTGAACTGAATTTCGTTTCGCTTTGAGTCGCACACTTTAAAAAATACAGCAGTTTAAACAAAACTGTCGAAAATGAATTTTTTCAAATTTCAAGATTTCTAAATTCTGCTTTCTACATCGATGTAACATTCGAAGGCGAATGTCCCGAACCACAAGAAACGATTCTAAACACGACTGAGCATGTATATTTCACATATCTTAAAGCTTGTCACTATTTAAATTTTTCACTTGCACATCGAAATCGATCTATCTTCGCTTAAAGACTTTGAACGCACTTGAAAATGTGTTTTTAATATATATTAATGTGAATCTGACAGCTGACTATAAGGAATTAATTTTTTTAATACAGAAAATGATAGTACGTCGATCGCTCGCGTCGTAAGTGGAAAAATCAAAAGTTCAAGTTTTTCCCCAAATTTAAAATAACGCAAATCCAAATCAGCAGTCTTATTAAGAATAGTTTATAGATATGTGAACTGAATTTCGTTTCGCTTTAAGTCGCACACTTTAAAAAATACAGCAGTTTAAACAAAACTGTCGAAAATGAATTTTTTCAAATTTCAAGATTTCTAAATTCTGCTTTGTACATCGAGGTAACATTCGAAGGCGAATGTCCCGAACCACAAGAAACGATTCTAAACACGACTGAGCATGTATATTTCACATATCTTAAAGCTTGTCACTATTTAAATTTTTCACTTGCACATCGAAATCGATCTATCTTCGCTTAAAGGCTTGGAACGCACTTGAAAATGTGTTTTTAATATATATTACTGTTAATCTGACTGCTGACTGTAAAGAGTTAATTTTTTTAATACCGAAAATGATAGTACGTCGATCGATCGCGTCGTCAGTAAAAAAATCAAAAGTTCAATTTTTTTCCAAAATTGAAAATAACGCAAATTCAAATCAGCAGTCTTATTAAGAATCGTTTATAGATGTGTGAAGTGAATTTCGTTTCGCTTATAGTTGCACACTTTAAAAAATACAGCAGTTTAAACAAAACTGTCAAAGATGAATTTTTTCAAATTTCAAGATTTTTTAATTTTGCTTTGTACATCGATGTAACATTCATAGGCGAATGTCCTAAACCACAAAAAACGATTCTAAACACGACTGAGCATGTATATCTTAAAGCTTGTTACTTTTTAAATTTGTCGCTTTGACATTGAAATCGATCTATCTTCGCTTAAAGACTTTGAACGCACTTGAAAATGTGTTTTTAATATATATTAATGTTAATCTGATAGCTGACTATAAGGAATTAATTTTTTTAATACCGAAAATGATAGTACGTCGATCGCACGCGTCGTCAGTAAAAAAATCAAAAGTTCAAGTTTTTCCCAAAATTGAAAATAACGCAAATTCAAATCAGCAGTTTTATTAAGAATCGTTTATAGATGTGTGAAGTGAATTTCGTTTCGCTTGTAGTTGCACACTTTAAAAAATACAGCAGTTTAAACAAAATTGTCAAAGATGAATTTTTTCAAAATCCAAGATTTTTTAAGTTTGTGTTGTACACCGATGTAACATTCGTAGGCGAATGTCCCGAATTACAAGAAACGATTCTAAACACGACTGAGCATGAGAATTTGAAATTTCTTAAAGTTGGTCACTTTTTGAATATTTTGCTTCAATTTCGACAACAATCTATCTCCGATTGAAACTTATTGGCACTTGCAAATTTCGTGTTTTTGGTGATGTACATGTGGCATCTGACTTTAAAGAATTAATATTTTATAACGAAAACTATATTAATTTGCGCTACGTGCGCGCCATTTCTCAATATTATATTAACTTTTAATAGTTTAGAACAAAAATACGTTTGTTTAAATATTAGGATTTTTTTTTTAATATTAGTGTTATTATTCCTAATATTAGTTTTATAGTTTCTAATATTTGTATTATTTTTCTCAGTATAGATGTTTTTTTATATTAGTAAATTGAAAAAAATAGAAGTCGCTACAGTAATTCCCTCCCGAAAAAAAAAAAAATTACATATACATATATCCCTCCCGAAAAATAAAAGAAAATTACATATACCTTTATCCACTTTTATATTCCACTGCTGCTCTGCTGTAATCCCATATAGTTTGGCACTGATCACTGCACTGTTTTTTTTCTATTGTTTTATATTTGCAATACTTATTTCTCGCACTTCACTACACACAGATGCACTTCGAAATGAACGGACGATACGAAAAATATAATATCACTCGCGAATGCATTCGGCATTTTCGAGCATCCCGTTCGATCACGTTCGATATCGCAGTCGCGAATAAAAACATCAGTTGAAAAAATATACTTTTCCGATTCCGGGAAAGCGAGCGTCCGAATATTAATCACATTAAACGCATCGAAATGCCCTTAAATTCACTCGTGATGTCTATAGAGGTCTATCGCGACATCTCCCGGCGCGCCGCGTTATTTCGTGGCATCGCGAAGGTAGTGAAGTCTCACTCAGGGGAAGTAACACTCGCGCGCCACGACCGTTACGCGGAAGCGTCACGAAAGCTCAAACGAGTGAGGGGTATGGCCGCCCTTCCCCTAGACTTTGAATCGACGGATTTGGATGAATTCGATCTTCTCTAACACTTTTTCCGATACCCGGGCACTTCAAGAGATACTGAAACACTCGCGTAACACCTCCTCGAGTGGATGATGCAAAAATACCGCACGGGAGCCGCCGTATGTCGAAATATAGTCGAACACGATATCTCAATCCTCTCCCCCTTCCCCTCACACAGCTCGCCATTGCCCGAATTCGCGATGTTCCAAGGTCCCCATCGACGCCCGAATGCTCTTCGAGCATATTATTTGGTCCACCGCGTCAAACACGACACTCCCGGACTTGCACTCCCGTTTATTCGCGTTACCGCGCACAAAATCCAGCCGAGACGTGGAGCATTCGCGACGCACCTCTACTCCTCCGCCGCTGGATTGGGACTGACTAATGGCGGCGCTGGCGGAAGTTCGTGACGTCGTGACGCCACGTCATATTCGGTCCATTTCATGTATTACTACGCGCGGGAGTTTTCAACGCGTAAATAATAAATAATATATAATTAGCAAATGTACATAATTTTAATTCGCCGAATATCAATTATGTACATAATTTTATTATGAGGGAGTACATAATTTTAATTCCCGATTTTCTATTATGTATATAATTTTAATTCGTCGAATTTCTATTATGCACACAATTTTAATTTTTCATTTTTTATTATATTTATATACATAATTTTAATTCGCCGTATTTCTATTATGTAAATAATTGAAATTGATAATAGAAATTCGATCAATTAATATTATATGTACATAATAAAACTTCGGGAATTAAAATTATTTACATAATAGAAATTTAGGTATTAAAATTATGTACATAATAGGAATTTGGCAAATCAAAATTTAAAACATAATGAAAATTCAATAATTAAAATTATGTACACAATGAAAATTCAGGAATTTTCCGAATTTCTATTTCCCTTTCTGAGAAACTGTAGTCGAAACTACTCAATCATAAAATTAATAAACACTTATTTATCAGATTTCAACTATTATATACACCAAATTCTTTAATATACATTACTATCACTACACTAGCCAACGATTCGATATATCGTTTGGACGTCATCCCGGCGATTGTATTGTGAAAGATGCGTGTGGCTGTAGCGTGTTTTTGCAGACGATGCGTGTGTGTTCGGAAGTTTATAGCATAATTTAAAGCTTTAATAATATTTAATATTAAAAGTACTTGTCGCAAAAAAATTCAACGCTAAAAAGAAAAGAAAAATGACTTGTCTGAAGAAATTCTCTTCTTTTGCTCGGTTACTGAGAAATAATGTAGGACGAACTCTAACCTCGCAGCCAGCTGCAAATGCAAATTCCGATAAGAACAAAGGTAAATAATTGAAACAAACAACAGATTATAAATAATAGACGCACATGAGAATATTACAAATATGTCGTTTATTTCAGAAAAAACAATATTGGTGGATCATGTAGACAAATTGACTATGATTGGTATTAATCGACCTGAAAAGAGAAATTGTTTAAATACCGCAACAGCACAATTATTATCAGAAGCATTAGATGAATTTGAAAATAACGAAGAGACATCAGTGGGAGTGTTATATGGAGTAGGTGGCAATTTTTGTGCTGGTTATGATCTCAAAGAAATTGCAGAGTATGATGGCGAAAGTGAGGAAAATATACCACATTTTGGATCATTGGTATGTTCACGTAATATTAAAAGTTGTGAAATAAATTATTTGATTTAGAATATTGAATTATGAAAATTTCTTTAATTCTGTACAGGCAAATAGATCTGAATTGTCCAAAAAACCACTGGTCGCAGCTTTAAGTGGATATGCAGTCGGTGTAGGATTTGAACTTGCTCTAATGTGCGACTTGAGAGTTATAGAGGATACAGCAATGGTGGGTTTTTTAAACAGACGTTTTGGTATTCCAATTTTATGTGGAGGTACTGTTCGATTGCCTGCTTTGATTGGATACTCCAGAGCTATGGAACTTATACTAACAGGAAGAATAGCTACTGCGGAGGAAGCATTTAACTGGGGAATTGCACATAAATATGCATCGTGTGGTGCAGGTATGAATTAACTTGCTTTAAAATTATATGAAAACTTGAACAAAAGACACTATAATATATAGAGTTACATTTTTATATATTAAATACATACAACAGTAATCAAGTATAATATAAATGCCATTTTCTTTCAAAACATTTTTGATTTGGAATAAAATCAAACAGATTAAAAATCTTATGTAAGTGTCAGGTTCACGTTCTCATATTTTTTAAATATATTATTTAATTTTAAAAACATTGATTAACAAATCAGATACATATTTAAAAAATATATATATATTTATATATATATATATATATTCTTAAATATGTATCTGATTTGTTAATCAATGTTTTTATAATTAAATAATATATCTATATATATAAGCACCGTCCGTCTGTCTGTCTGTCTGTCTGTACCCGAACTACTTCCGCATTTGTGGACCGATTGTCTCGAAATTGGTACCAAAATGTTGCAAATTTTTCGGGGGTGGCTGCTGTGGGTTTTTTTTTTTAATTTTTTAATTTTTATTTTTTTCCTCACAGGAGGGTATGTTTTGTTGCGAAAAAAATTTTTTTTTGCAATATTTCTGAACACATGGTATCAAAATGTTGCAAAATTTTTGGAGATAGCGACGATGCGGTTTTTTCAAGTGTTACACTTCCACCCACTCACCCACCCACGCATTTACCCACATGCATGCGCATTTATGGACCAATTTTTACGAAATTAGTACCAAAATGTTGCAAATTTTTCTGAGGAAACTGCTGTGTGGGTTTTTTAAGTTTACGCCTCCACCCACGCACCCACCCGCGCAATTGCATACTTATGAACCGATTTTTTTTAAATCGGTACCAAATTGTCGCAAATTTTTTGGAGATGGAGACGATGCGGTTTTTTCAAGTGTTACACCTCCACCCACGCACCCACCCACGCGCATGCGCATTTATGGACCAATTTTCACGAAATTGGTACAAAAATGTTGCAAATTTTTCTGAGAAAGCTGCTGTGTGGGTTTTTTAAGTTTACGCCCCCACCCACGCATTCACCCACGCAATCGCATATTTATGAACGGATTTTTGTAAAAATTGGTACCAAAATGTTGCAAATTTTTTGGAGATGGCGGCGATGTGGTTTTTTCAAGTGTTACACCTCCACCCACGCATTCACCCACACGCATGCGCATTTATGGACCAATTTTCACGAAATTGGTACAAAAATGTTGCAAATTTTTTCTTAGAAAGCTGCTGTGTGGTTCTTTTAAGTTTTATCCCACCCATGCATCCACCCACGCATTCAAACATTTATTCACAGACTTTTTCGAAATTTGTACTCAAATTTTGTCCGGGATGGCTACTATATGATTTTAACGTAAATATATGCAAAACGCGGTGTAAAATAAAATATCTGGGAGAAAGAAATAGATAACATAGTAGTCATCCAAAAAAATTTAAACATTTATTTTGATATAAATTTCGTGAAAGTCGGACAACAAATGTGGAAGTAGTTCGCGGTAATACAAAAAAAGAATTAATTTTTTGTGTTAAAACGGATTTAATATAGGCTATATGAGGGCCGCGCGAAGCGCGGTCCGAAAAGCTAGTTTAATATATATATATATATATATATATATATATATATATATATTCTTAAATATGTATCTGATTTGTTAATCAATGTTTTTAAAATTAAATAATATATTTAAAAAATATGAGAACGTGAACCTGACACTTACATAAGATTTTTAATCTGCTTGATTTTATTCCAAATCAAAAATGTTTTGAAAGAAAATGGCATTTATATTTTACTTGAAATCTGTTGTATATATATATATTGTGTATACATATGTAAATCTATATTTCTGATTTGTTTCAGCTTTGGGTGTGGCGGTGAATTTGGCATCTTCTCTCGTAAAATTCCCGCAAAAGTCTTTGCTGGCAGATCGCGCCTCAGCGCATTTTTCCGCATTTTCGGCAAAGCCAATGGAAGAAGCATTGCAATTTGAGAAAGATACCTCCTCACATTTAATATTGGAGGAAGGTGTTGAAGGTGCCAAGAAATTTATTCATCACAGAATAGGAAGGCACGGAAAATTTCATGATATCACAATTAAAGATCAAAGTATTAAGGAAATAGATGAGACTTTATTATAAAAGATTTCGATTTAAGTGCGTGTATATAACAATGTATACAGTGATTTTAGTATAGCTCTCTTTCTCTTTAAATATTTTAAAAGTCTAGTAAATTTATTAATTTCACTAATTCTATTTTGGTTATTTTGTACGATTTAATTATACATATTAAAAGCATTGAATATTATCAAACATGTATCAGATTAAGTTTATAAAAATTAAGGAAAATTTACATAATCTTATATACCAAAGCATATACATTGTAAATATACATATTAAAAAAACTTTATTCAGCAAATTAATTGGGTTCTTCAGATTAATTAATTATTCTTCTTCTTAGGCGTAGATTTAATTGATGAAGTTTTCTGTGATGATCTTCGCACCTTAGATAAAATATCACAACACCTTTTGGCTGCCTTTCCTATTAAAAGTGGTGTAAAATTTATCATCTGTCCATTCTCATCCCCTAAAAAATATTTCTTCTGTGATATCTCATATAAAATAGATAAATAGTTATACATTACTTACGTTCAAAAGTTATGATAAAATATGTTAAATCTGGTTGAAGAATATCTGTTCCACGTGTACAAGGTCCATAGAGAGATATATTTTTCAACTGACAATTTATTTCGTCGCATAAATCGAATTCACCTGAAAGTTTCCAAGTAACAAATCCAATCATTTGACATAAAAATGACATGCATTCGCTCTCTGATTAACTTTTGACACTGATCAATTTCGTAAAAATTTTTATTTTCTTATTTTTATTTACATGTACTATTCATATGTGCAACTTTTCTTATGTAATTGAGTATCATCTTAATCGGACAATTTATATTCACCAACATCTCTCTTTCTATAGATGTTGTGTTTGACTCTCCAACATTACTATTTGATAAATTTTCTATAATTACAATTTTATGCTATTAATCATAATCTAATTTAAAAAGATAATAATTAAAAAGATAATAATTCAATTTCTTACCAATGTATTTAACCTTTATAATAGTTGTCATGTTAAATATGATATCTCTTTGGCGTCACCAAATGCAACAAGATAGATCGTGTATTTTTTTAAATATATCAACAAGATGCACGATTATAAGCGAAATGAATTGCATAGTAAATTAAAAGCGCATAAGTATTTGTTTTCTCGCTTTAGCATAGATTGCAGTTTTTTTTACATATATTTTCAAAATTAAACAAATATTGATTGCAAAAGATATTGCATAAAATAAACATTGCTTTTAGTTTCAGTTTTTGATTAATTAATAAATTCTATTTTTTCCGGTACATATATTTGCTTAAAGATAAAAGAAAAAAACATACTAGTAAATATTCGAAAAACCTCTGGATATATATTCAGCGAAGCATCTGAATATTCAATAAAAGATATCTACAGCTCGTGTATAGGGGATGCATTTCACCGATGCACTTTGCGCCTACGCGATTTATTAAGCGGCCGGCGACGCGGTTCCGTCGTCGCGTCAGTCTGGAATCCCGAATAATCCTGGAATTTCATATTCGCAAGTCAAATTACAACGACCGACTGTGCAGGCTTAATTGGCGAAAGTAATGCGCGAGAGACCGGCCGGCCGGCCAACCACTGTCGAGCCTGTTTAAAGTCGTTGTGAAACGAAACGAGTGCAGGTGGCGGAGCGCATATTGTTGCGCAATATCCCTCCTTCGCGGTTCTCTTCTTGTAACCGGGAGTCAGGACGAGGGTCCTCTCCCGGAGAGTCTCCCCACCAGATGCCCTTCCCCTTGGCAGGTATATCTTGGTGAATGTTGTGCCTGCTTTGTGAGAGCGAGTTAAATATGCGAATCCCTCTTTTTTTTCCTCCCTCTGGTCTTTCCTTCTTTCGAGAGAATCCTCTCTCCGCGAAACCTGTATGTTTATCTCAGTTCCATATCCTTTTGCATTTGACAGATACACAGCTGATCGTAAAATGCGCCGACCGCGAGATACTCTTGTTCCTCGTTGCTTCGATTTGTTTACGAAAAACAGAGCAAAATTTATTTACGTAAATAAATGTAAATGACATATTTATATTTTATATTAAACAAATATGCATTATATGGAAAGAATATTTATTTATTTATTTCTATAATGACATGACTATTGAATAAATGAGATTGTATAAAAAAAAGGAACCTTTTAGAGAATTTAAAATGAAAGAAAAATTTCCGATTTAAAATCACATTCTAAAGACGCATACAAATGACAATATCCTAGATTATTGTATACCATAAAATGCGCCGATTGCAAAATACTTTTATTTCTCGTTGCTTCAATTTGTTATCGGAAAACGGAGCAAAATTTATTTAAGTAAACAAGTCCAAACGACATATTCATATTTTATATTAAACAAATATGCATTATATGTAATAGAATATTTTTTTATAACGATCTGTTGAATGAATGAGATTATATTAAGAAAGGAACTTTTTACAGAACTTAAAATAAAAAAAAAATTTCCGATTCAAAATCACATTCTAAAGACGCATATAAATGACGATATAAATATCCTAGATTTAATTACTGTAACTATAAAATGCGAAGCGCGTATAGCGTTATTGTTTACGCACAGCCGCTCACTTATCTGGTAGAAAATTTTTGGCACACGATCGTGTTTGTCCTCGCCTTATTGCAATGACCTATATATTTAAAAGAGGGATATGACAGTCACGCGAATTCGTTAACGAGGCAATTCCCGAAGAGCGCGTTCGTCATCTTCCCATCAGCTGTTGAGAGACACGTAGGAACGTTCGTTCCTACATTTCTTTGTGATCGGCCGCGCTTAATACATGGCATTTAAGGCAAACGCAGACGTCAGTCCTTTCACACGAATCTCCATTGTACTCGACGATCTATTATTATTAGCGACTCACCCGTGGGGGAAAGTTTCGCCTTATGGCGGAGCTTATGACTCTGCAAAGATGCACTCTTCGTCAAATAGACAAAACGTTTTACGTTGCGGAACTGCGCAGATGTATCACGATGCTTGATCTCGTGCTCCAACTCTCATCATCCGCAGAAAGCTATATCCTATTGAAACAAAAATATTAACTTGACTAAACCTTTCAACTAAATTACTATTTTCATTGAACATATAGTATATGAGTGTTTAAGTCAAATATACGTTTTGTTATAGATTTTGTATGTTATATTTGATTTAAATATTTTTATATGTTTGATAAAATAATATTTGGTCGAAAGGTTTTATCAAGTTAACGAATTTATTTTTTTCAGTGCGTATCCTCGATACGATTGAGTCTTACTTTTCGCACGGGAGAAAACCTGGTAGCTTATTTATTGGCATATCGACACGTTGTTCGGAGAAAAAGTGATGTATGTGTACTTGGTAATAACGCGCTTTTAAATTTTCTATTTATTTCTTTTTCACTCGAGAGTATTCTCAATTTCATCGACACATACTCTCGTGTAATGCATTTAACGTCGACGTTAATTTAAATCGTTTATAATTGCACGGCTATATAGCCATCGAGACTAATAAGATTCATAAGATGTCATAACATGATCAACGACCATGACGGAGTTACGGCCCTCAAAACCTCTTGAAGGTGTTAAAATAAAAAGTACGATCTTAGAATGGGAATTAAATCATTGTGCAATAATAATAGATCACGCAATACGTGGAAACCGGAGCCGTGTTGTACCGAGAACTTTATAAGAAAATTCAAACGTAGATAGATCGCTGCACTTTGTATCGATATTAGATCGAATCTAGCAGTAATGCTACTATTGTAGCACCGCGATCGTTCAATATCACTTGTTATCGCAAGTATTTAAGACTGTTTACTTCAATTTCAAGCGCATGTAAATTTATGTAATTTCCTCCGCCACATATGTAGAAAATTGAAAACACTATGGATATTGTAGCACCGCGATCGTTCAATATCACTTGTTATCGCAAGTATTTAAGACTGTTTACTTCAATTTCAAGCGCGTGTAAATTTATGTAATTTCCTCCGCCACATATGTAGAAAATTGAAAACACTATGGATCATTTTATCATATATATACGTACTTTTTATTTTTCAAATATGGGAATTTCAAGTGCTCGAAAGATTCGTCCTTCCACAATTCATTTATTGAAGAATGAAAACGACGAGGTCGCGTCACGATAAAATCTTTCGCGGATGTGAAAAAAAAAAAAAATTATACCAATACACAGATGTGCCAATCACAGGCATAATCATTCTTTATATGGATGCCGGTATTTTGTAAAATCGTGTCGATCGCATCTGTATCGCGCTTATACCATTACGTTTTATGAGGTGGATGGATATAAAGTATCCCTCTTTCTCTTATCTCTCCTCTCTCTTTCTCCCATCATCATAATCCTCGACAGCAACAGGTACCATCTTTTTCTTCTCGAAAACAAGGACGATATGAAAAAAAGATGCGTGAAAGAGAAATATTTTCTTCTCTCTCTCTTTCTTTCGTACGTGCGAAACAGGACCTACCTCTGACATATCCGCGAAATTTATTATGGACGTCTGCGGCATCACGCAAATATCCTTCTCGATCAACGTTTGCAACGCGGTGATATAAAACAACAATGTCTCCAACTGTATAAACAGAAATTCGGTAGAGTGTTGAGACAGAGGACATAAAGAACGCTTCGTATTATATTTCTGTAAAAATGAAGAGATATAAAAAATGTATTTTATTTTAAATACATGCAAATATTGCACATACTTATTTTTAAAATAAATCAAATATATAATTATAAATTATAATAATAATCAAATTAGTAAAGCGATCACTCTTCTTAATATCAATTTGAAATTTTACCAATTTCAATATTTCTCATTCATTTTTCCTATTACAGTATCGAATACATTTTCTTCGCAAAAATTAGCATCCAATAATTTAAATTTTAATTGATAACAAAGGAAAGATAAGCACACATAAATTATTAAATTTAAGGAAAATGTATTTTGTAATAAAAAAAAAGAGATCACGGAAGAATAAAATTTGGGAACCACTGTCATAAACGATTTGAACAGCCCAGTTTGTTTGCGCATAGTCTGAAACGTTAATAAATATTACAGCGTGTGTTTACTAGCCGCGGGGTTGATTTAAAAGCAAATTTTATATTGCAAAACGCGAGAAATCGATGAGAGTTGGAGAGAAAATTATTCAAACATTCATAACATCTACACTAAAAAAAAATTTATTAACTTGACTAAATCTTTCAACTAAATTACTATTTTGTTAACTGAATATATATTCTAGTGTTTAAATCAAATATACATTTTGTTAGAGATTTAATATATTATATTTAAATATTTTTATATGTTCAATTAACAAAATAATATTTAGTTGAAAGATTTAATCAAGTTAATAAATTTCTTTTCAGTATGTCTCCGATAATAAAAATACTTATCCATCAAGATTGTGCAAAACAATTTGATTATGCCTGCAAGTAATCTCGGAATCCTTAAAGAAGTCACGTATGTTGTGTGAGACATTCTACAAAATATTCTGCCAATGTATGCATGTATGTGTGTGTGCATAGCTACGCATCTGCAGTATGCAAACGCATTCATACAGTTATGCGCATTATTATTACATTCTTATCACGTTTAACCGGAAA